TTCTGATCCAGCGCTGTGGAGGCAGCAGCGAGGGTTGGTGGATCACACACAGATGGTGTTCGATACCCTGGGCTCGCAGGCACATTAGTCCCACTTGCTGTACTGCCTTCTCGTATCAAGCCACTGTATGAATTATCTGAACGCGGAGCTGAACGGCACAGGTAGTCGTGTTTTATTGACCCCGGAAGGATGATGTGCCGAGTCAACCCTTCCCCCACCCCCACCCCTCCACCCCGCACCCTTGACGAGGAGTTGAACTCGTGCCTTGACCTTCCGATCGGTGCGAGCCACTGGCTGCGCCGCTGGCACGCGAGCTCACAGCTGTCACCGAGAGTCACGCGCGTCTGGAAGTCTCTCTCACACACACACACAGTCTCTCTCACACACACAGCACCACGCCCGACCGCCTTTGTCTCCCCAGTGGCAATGTTTACACACCGCACCAGGTACTAATTTGAGGCTGAGTCGACCTAGGGGAGGCCCTGGACCGGTTCAGATAATCGTCATTGGTGTTGGCCGTGAGCGGGAATCGAACCCGGGTCGCCAGGTTCATAGCGCAGCGTAGCGCTAACCGCAACACTACCGCTCCACACACACTCAGTCTCACACAACAACAACCGCCATTCGCCACGAAGTGGCGGTGACGTCACCACGACGCTTGTGCCAGGCCATGTGCACCTTGAGGCCACGTGAAGTGTCGAACGCCCGCTGGCAGGAGGTCACGGGGCAGACCCAGGTGCCACTGGTCGATTGACTGAGATGACTGGCTGATGCACCACCTGTGCCCCCTACTGTGCCAACCTGCTGTGCTTTAGCCACCCGGCGCTCCGCTCGTTGTTGTGAGCGTCGCTCCTCCACCCTCCGTTGTTGTTGGAGGGCGACTGCCTCCAACTGCCCAGGAGCGTCCTTCACGAGCCTCCTCCACAGAGGCCGATCTTGACACCGTTGGTACCAGTCATCGGCAAGTCCACTCAGCTCCACGTCCTCCTGTACCACATCACTCCATCTCTTCTCTAGCCCGTGCCGCGCCCGTTTAGCCCCCTCGATCCGGCCGAACAAAAGCTGTATCGGGATGCGGTGGCTGGGCATGCGGGCTACATGGCCCAGCCAACGCAGCCTTGCCTGCCGGAGTAGCTCACCGATGGGACCTTGCCCAGATCTTTGAAGGATTTGTGAGCTCCTCACACAATCCAGTCTGGTTAAACCCAGGATGGATCGTAGGCAGGCCAGCCTAAATGTTTCCAACCGGCGAAGATGTCTCACACAAAGATAAAAGACAAAGATCCCCCATTTAGCCTGTAACAGACTGTAGGGGAAAGTGCTGTTAGCGAGCACCTATGAAGGCCGGAACGGTACACGAGGGGGTGGGTGGCCAGCACCACGCCCGACCGCCTTTGTCTCCCTAGTGGCAATGTTTACACACCGCACCAGGTACTCATTTGAGGCTGAGTCGACCTAGGGGAGGCCCGGGACCGGTTCAGATAATCGTCACTGGTGTTGGCCGTGAGCGGGAATCCAACCCGGGTCGCCAGGTTCATAGCGCAGCGCGCTAACCGCTACACACACAGTCTCACACACACACAGTCTCACACACAGTCTTACACACTCTCTCTCAGTCTCACACACACACATTCTCACACACAGTCTCACACGCACTCTCAGTCTCACACGCACTCTCAGTCTCACACAGTCTCACACACTCTCTCAGTCTCACACACACACAGTCTCACACAGTCTCACACATTCTCTCTCAGTCACACACACACAGTCTCACACTCACTCTCAGTCTCACACAGTCTCACACACACTCAGTCTCACACACACACAGTCTCACACACGGTCTCACGCACACAGTCTCACACACTCTAACTCCCCTGCCAGCGACGTGTTCATTGACTAATTCATTACTCGGTGATGGCGTCAGATATCGCGTCTGGTTTTCAATTAAGCCTTTGTGCTCCGCTATTGACCCGCGGGTGAGCCGCGTGCAGCTCTGGAATCGATAACCACATCAGAAGCAGCACCACCATCGCCACCACCAACACCATCGCCACCACCAACACCACCGCTGAGCATGCAGCATGGGATGATAACCCTGCACAGCAACACGAGGCGTCCACCCCGGTTGTCCACCCCAGTCACCCACCCTGGTTGTCCACCCTAATTGTCCACCCCGGTCACCCAACCCGGTCGAGCACCCTGGTCATGCACCCGTGTAGTCCACCATGATTGTCCAACCCGGTCACCCACTCTTGTTGTCCACCCCGGTTGTCCACCGAGGTTGATGTGAGTGAGGCCACGGGCTCGCCACGTTGGTGTTCGTCGATGGGCACGTCTCTCGCGGTGGGGTAAAGAGTGGGCACCCCCCGAGACCGCCCTTGAGCGGCCCCAAACGGCACGCGTTCAAACCGGTTTAAACAGGTTCAACACGCGGATTGTCGCAGCCCGATGTTACCGTTCATAATTGAGATTATGTAGCGTTTAGTGGGATGGTGGGTGGGTTGGAGTGGTGGTTGGTGCGTTGGTAGGTGGGATGGTGGGTGGGATGGTTGGGTGGGATGATGGGTTGGTGGATGGGTTGATGGGTGGGTGGATTGGTGGGTGGGTTGGAGTGGTGGTTGGTGCGTTGGTAGGTGGGATGGTTGGGTTGGTGGATGGGTTGGTGGGTGGGTTGGTGGATGGGCGGATTGGTGGGTGGGATGGTGGGTGGGATGGTTGTGTGGGATGATGGGTTGGTGGATGGGTTGGTGGGTAGGTTGGAGTGGTGGTTGGTACGTTGGTAGGTGGGATGGTTTGGTTGGTGGATGGGTTGGTGGGTGGGATGGTGCGTGGGTGGATTGGTGGGTGGGTGGGTTAGGCACCCCCATGGTCAAATAATAAAAAAACGGCTATGGGCATCGCACCGCAGTATGGTCGCCTCGCGGTGATATCGCCTTAAGGCCCACACTCAACTCCCTCTCTCTCTTTCTATACTTCGCTTTCTTTATCAAAGCTCATTTCATCTGAATCGTCGTGCTGCTGTGCTACTGCTGTGTGCTACTGCTACTGTGTGCTACTGCTGTGCTGTGTACTGCTGCTATATAACGCTCTCGGTTTCAAGCATCACTTTGAGAGGACTTCTGACATTTCTCATCAGGGACCTCCCCCCCCCGATAAGGACGCGGCCGCTGCTGGTTGTAGATAGAGAGAGAGAGGGGGGTGATGAATGGGAGTCGAGGCGGGGGAGGCGGCGTGGAGATAAGAGGCCGAGACACGTGGAGACAGGGACATGCACCCGTGTGTGTGCGCACATCACTACCATCATTGTTAATATACATGTGTTTTTTTATATATAGTATCATTTTTCATTATATACATGTGGTTTTATATATAGTATAATTATTCATTATATACATGTGGTTTTATATATAGTATCATTCATTATAGACATGTGGTTTTATATTATAGTAGCATTCATTATATACATGTGGTTTTATATATAGTATAATTTTTCATTATATACATGTGGTTTTATATATAGTAGCATTATTCATTATATACATGTGGTTTTATATATAGTATCATTATTTATTATATACATGTGGTTTTATATAGTATCATTCATTATATACATGTGGTTTTATATATAGTATCATTATTCATTATATACATGTGGTTTTATATATAATATCATTCGTTATATACACGTGGTATTATATATAGTATCATTTTTCATTATATACATGTGCTATATATAGTATCATTCATTATATACATGTGGTTGTATATATAGTATAATTCATTATATACATGTGGTTTTATATATGGATATACACACACGGGGACATATACCTGTATGTATGTGTATTACTACCATCATTGTTACTATACATGTGGTTTTATATATATAGTATGATCATTATTAATATACATGTGGTTATCTATATAATCATCGTTATTAATATACATGTGGTTATAAATGCATATGGATGTGGTTTTATATGTATATATGGATATACATAAACACATTATCGATATTATCGTTATTAATATATATGGGGATATATATCGAACTACTGGTGGCAATATCATGGATACATCCACATGGACATATGTGGATACATCCACATGGATATATGTGGATACATCCACATGGATATATATGTGGATGTATCGATATACAGAGCCGTATTGCCACAAATGGTTCGATACTATACATATATCCATGTGTATATGAATATAGATATATATGAATATATATGAATATAGATAAATATATATGGACATAAATGCATATATATGGACACATATATTTATATACAAATATATTTATCCATATTCTTGGAGACGTTTATTTTGCACCACTGATAACAATGTCACTGTGTGTATGGGTATATATGTGGCCTCATGGCCTCAAGGTGCACATGGCCTGGCACAAGCGTCGTGGTGACGTCACCACCACTTAGTGGCGAATGGCGGCTGTTGTTGTTATATATGTGGTGGATATCTATAGATCCGTGTACATATATAGAGAGATATACAGGGTGGCCCAAAAGTCAGGACACAAGTTTATTATACAGATGTTATTATTTTATAGATCATCACTCTAGACCATCCACATCACCACCACCATTACCACCACCTTCATCACTTGATACATCAAGATCATCACTCTAGACCACCATCACCACCATCACCACCACCTTCATCACTCGATACATCAAGATCATCACTCTATACCATCTCCACCATCATCATCATAATATATTCGAGTAGCGAGGCAGCTGGGACACGTGGTGTGTGCGTGTTGGGGGAATTCACTCGGCCTCAACTGAGTAGCTGGTGGAGCGTCGCTGTGTAGTGAACATCGCCACTGGGGAGACAAAGGCGGTCGAGCGTGGTGCTGTTGTTTATGTGGTTGTTGTCTACGTTGTTGTTGCTTAGATTGTTTATGTGGTGGTTGTTTACATGGTTGTTGTTGTTGTTTACGTGGTTGTTGTTTATGTGGTTGTTGTTGTCAGCATTTTAAGAAGCAGACAGAGAAGCTGCTGGCGAAGGGAACCGGACTGCTGGAGAACGCCCTCGACAGAGCGTTCAGCATCCTCAACGAGGTGGGGGCACACGGGGGAGGGGGGCACGAGGGGTCAGGGGGGGGACACAGCGGAGGGGGGGATACGGGGGAGGGGGGCACGGGGGAGGGGGGAACGGGGGGTCGGGGAGGGACACGGGGGAGGGGGGCACGGGGGAGGGGGGAACGGGGGGTTTGGGGGGGCACGGGGGAGGGGGGCACGGGGGGTCGGGGAGGGACACGGGGGAGGGGGGCACAGGGGGTCGAGGGGGACACGCGGAGAGATGGAGACATGGGGGAGGCATGGGGAGACACGGGGATACGAGGAGACATGGGGACACTGGATATCAGGTTGACACAGGGACACGGCGAGAAGGGGACACGAGAACGGGGAGACCAGAGGGACATGGGAAGACATGGGGGGACATGGGTAGTAGACACGGGGAGACACGGGGAGACACGGGGAGACATGGGGAGACACGGGGGGTCACGGGGGGACACGGGGGGTCACGGGGGGACACGGGGGGTCACGGGGGGTCACGGGGGGACACGGGGGGACACGGGGGGTCACGGGGGGTCACGGGGGTCACGGGGGGACACGGGGGGTCACGGGGGGACACGGGGGGTCACGGGGGGTCACGGGGGGACACGGGGGGTCACGGGGGGTCACGTGGTTCTGGCTGGCGCCACCGAGCCATGGCACCACGTGATGAGGTCATGAGTGGAGCCGCGGGAAGGGATCGAGCCAAAGGTCCCACGTGTAGCCTTAGCAGTCTCTCAGGGCAAGTGCTGTTAGGGAGCAGCAGCAGCACCTATGAAGGCCGGCACGGCACACGAGGGGGTGGGTGGCCAGCACCACGCCCGGCCCCGTTTGTATCCCTAGCGGCGATGTTGTTGTTTTGTTTACACATCGTATCAGGCACTGGTCGCAGTACCTTAACATATAGAGGACCGCAGAGCTTTGGGAAATTTTTGGTTGTGCAGGCTCCTCACCACCGCGTGCCTGCCGCTGCTGTGTTTGTGTGTGTCTGTATGTGTGTGTATGTGTGTGTGCCTGTTTGTGTGTGTGTGTATGTATGTGTGTCTGTGTGTGTGTATGTGTGTGTGTATGTGTGTGTGTATGTGTGTGTGCCTGTTTGTGTGTGTGTGTATGTGTGTGTGTCTGTATGTGTGTGTATGTGTGTATGTGTGTGTGTATGTGTGTGTGTGTATGTGTGTGTATGTGCATGTGTGTGTGTCTGTGTGTGTGTATGTGTGTGTGTGTATGTGTATGTGTGTGTGGCTGTTTGTGTGTCTGTATGTGTGTGTGTGTCTGTATGTGTGTGTGTATGTGTGTGTGTGTATGTGTGTATGTATGTGTGTGTCTGTGTGTATGTGTGTATGTATGTGTGTGTCTGTGTGTGTGTGTATGTGTGTGTGTATGTGTGTATGTGTGTGTGTGTCTGTATGTGTGTGTGTGTGTATATATGTGTGTGTCGCCCCGCTGTGCCGGAGGCCCCGGGGGGCCAGGCGTCTATGACGTCTCCTGGCCAAACCCCAATTGGCGGAGCCAGGAGATTGAATACCTACCCTCGGGGCTACTCCAGAAACAACGAAAAGCCACTACGGTTGGCCACGTGGAATGTTCGAACGCTCACTGCAGAGGAGAGGCTGCCACTCCTCTGTTGGGAGCTGGACCGGTACCGCCTGGATCTATGCGGCATTCAGGAGGTCCGGTGGACCGGCTCTGGCTCCTGCCACCATGAGGGGTGGACAGTCCTCTACTCGGGGCAGCAGACTGCCAAACAACAGGGTGTGGGTCTTCTTTTGAACAAAAGAATGAAGGGGGCGTGGGAGCGTGGCGGTGAGGTGTGGGAAGCTGTAAGCCCCAGGCTACTTTGGGCTCGCCTTCCCATCAACCGGAGGCGAGGAATGGTGGTCGTGGTTACTTATGCCCCCACCGAAGATGAACATCCGTGGAGGGATGCAGGCAAAGCCGATGAGTCAGATGCCTTCTATGACCTCCTGTCACAGGTGCTGGCTAAAGTGGCCCCTCGGGATAGAGTCATCATGTTGGGTGACTTCAATGCCCGAGTTGGTCATGATACTGGCACCTGGTCTGGAGTGATTGGAGGGCATGGGCCAGATCAGCTCAATAACAACGGTAGGAGGCTGCTAGATTTTTGTGCAGCCCATGGGCTTGTAATTACCAACACGCTGTTCCGGCATCGGCGCATCCACACAACATCATGGATGCATGCCGGGTCCAAGCAAGAACATCTGCTGGACTACATAGTGACGGACCAGCGAATGCGAGCCCATGTCCTTGACACCAGGACCTACCGTGGAGCTGATCTGCCCTCTGACCATCGACTAGTCATCTGTAAGATGCGCCTGCCATTCTTCCACTCCGGTGGTGGGTGTACACCCAGGACCCCATTCCAACCTAAAGTGGCCTGGTCTCAGTTATCTGATGAAAGTTGCAAGTGAGAATTTCATCATCGCTTGCGGCTGGGATTGGCATCGTCCCCGACTCCTCCTGATGTCGAGGGTAAATGGGCGAGGTTTAGGACTGTGACTCATGCAGCTGCAATGGCTGCTTTGGGTACGCGGTCCAGACCTCCCCAGACACCCTGGATGACAGAGGAGTTGTTCACGATGGTTGAGAAAAAGCGACAGGCCCACTGTCATCGGCTACAGAATCCCACGTCAGAGAATGAGGAGGCTTACCGCAGCCTTCGCTCGGAGGTTCGGAGAGCCGTGAGGCGCTGCAAGGATGGGTGGTGGTCGCGGGTTGCTGAGGAGATGGAGTCTGCCTCAGTGGCCCGTGATCACAAATCTCTATTTAACTCCATCAAAAAAGTAACCTGCAGCGCCACACCTATTACCATCATTAGGGGAAAAAACGGTGATCCAATTTCCGACCCCCAGGAACAGGTTCGCAGATTTGCTAAGCATTTCTGTGAGGTCCTGGGGGAGGGAAAATCCCTCAGCCAGGAAAACATCGTGGCACAAAGTGAGGATGACCCTGCTGAGGCTGCGGTGCCTCAAATATTGGATGAAGTCACCCCCTGTGAGTGGCTGGCTGAGGTGCCATCTGCTGAGGAAGTATTGAAGGCGATCCGGAGTCTGAGACCAGGAAAGGCAGCAGGCAGAGATGATCTCCCAAGCGAAATGCTGAGGGAGGGTGGCGTTTGTGCACAGACTGCCCTATATGACATCATAACAACAGTCTGGACCACTGGATGGGTTCCGCAGGATTGGAAGGATGCCCTGGTGGTCCCCCTTCTTTTTAAGAAGGGGGACCGCACAGACTGTAACAACTACAGGGGCATCTCACTCCTCAGTGTGCCGGGAAAGGTCCTGGCAAGGATTATTCAGCATCGCCTTGCCAGGCACGCTGAGGAGAGGCTTGCGGAGCCCCAATGCGGTTTCAGGAAAGGGCGGCCCTGCACAGATGCCATATTTTCTGTCCGTCTGCTACAGCAGAGGTGTAGGGAATTCCAACAAGACCTACATCTCTGCTTTATTGACCTGGTCAAGGCCTATGATACCATCAGTAGGCCTGGGCTCTGGGTCGTTCTTCGTGCTTTTGGAGTACCTGACCCTCTGCTCACGATCATTAAGGACCTTCATGATGGTGAGCGGGCCCGGGTAAAACTACGTGGCCGGGAGTCAGAGCCATTCCCTGTACACCTTGGGGTGCGACAGGGATGTCCTCTGGCTCCCACATTATTTAACATCTATTTTGACCACGTAGTTCGTGAAGCCTTCAATAGCTGTACCGGGGGAATCTCCATATGGTACAGATATAATGGGAGGCTAATCGATGCCCGGGTGCGGTCAAGGGATGGCTCCCTATGGCTCAACCACGTTATGTATGCTGATGACTTGGTAATAGCTGCTCAGTCAGAGGAGGAGTTGGAGACGCTGCTGCTGAGACTGGAGCGTGCCACTAAGAGGTGGGGTCTTACCATCAGCCCCACCAAAACTAAGCACCTGCCTGGGTATTTTGTACCATCGGACACTCCACCCCCACAACTCCCAATCGGTGATGGGGCAGTTGTGGAGAGAGTGGAGAGTTTCCCATACCTGGGCAGTGTGCTTATGACTGGCTCCAGTTTAACAGCAGAGGTCTCACTCCGAATCAGTCGAGCGGCAATATCTTTTCATCGGTTGCGTAACGCTGTGTGGAAGCTACCTGGTCTGTCGCTCCGCACTAAGCTTCAGGTCTTCTCGGCCACGGTCATTCCCTCCCTTCTCTATGCTTGCGAAACGTGGATCCCCCTAATGGAACATCTTCGCCGGTTAGAAACATTTAGGCTGGCCTGCCTACGATCCATCCTGGGTTTAACCAGACTGGATTGTGTGAGGAGCTCACAAATCCTTGAAAGATCTGGGCAGGGTCCCATCGGTGAGCTCCTCCGGCAGGCAAGGCTGCGATGGCTGGGTCATGTAGCCCGCATGCCCAGCCACCGCATGCCGAAACAGCTTTTGTTTGGCCGGATTGAGGGGGCTAAGCGGGCACGGCACGGGCTAGAGAAGAGATGGAGTGATGTGGTACAGGAGGACGTGGAGCTGAGTGGACTTGCCGATGACTGGTACCAGCGGTGTCAAGATCGGCCTCTGTGGAGGAGGCTCGTGAAGGATGCTACTGGGCAGTTGGAGGCAGTCGCCCTCCAACAACAACGGAGGGCGGAGGAGCGACGCTCACAACAGCGAGCGGAGCGCCGGGTGGCTAAAGCACAGCAGGTTGGCACAGTAGGGGGCACAGGTGGTGCATCAGCCAGTCATCTCAGTCAGTCGACCCGTGGCACCTGGGTCTGCCCCGTGACCTCCTGCCAGCGGGCGTTCGACACTTCACGTGGCCTCAGGGTGCACATAGCCTGGCACAAGCGTCGTGGTGACGTCACCGCCACTTAGTGGCGAATGGCGGTTGTTGTTGTTGTATGTGTGTATGTGTGTGTCTGTATGTGTGTGTATGTGTGTGTATGTGTGTGTGTATGTGGGTGGGGAGTGGTAGTGCAGTGGTTAGCGCGCTGCGCTATGAATCTGGCGACCCGGGTTCGATTCCCGCTCACGGCCAACACCAGTGACGATTATCTGAACCGGTCCCGGGCCTCCCCTAGGTCGACTCAGCCTCAAATGAGTACCTGGTGCGGTGTGTAAACATTGCCACTAGGGAGACAAAGGCGGTCGGGCGTGGTGCTGGCCACCCACCCCCTCGTGTACCGTTCCGGCCTTCATAGGTGCTCGCTAACAGCACTTGCCCCTACAGTCTGTTAAGGCTATACGGGGGAGCTTTATGTGTATGTGTGTGTGTATGTGTGTGTGTATGTGTGTGTGTGTGTCTGTATGTGTGTGTGTCTGTATGTGTGTGTGTGTGTCTGTATGTGTGTGTTTCTGTATGTCTGTATGTGTGTGTGTCTGTATGTGTGTGTTTCTGTATGTCTGTATGTGTGTGTTGTATGTGTGTGTGTCTGTATGTGTGTGTGTATGTGTGTGTGTATGTGTGTGTGTGTGTCTGTATGTGTGTGTGTGTATGTGTGTGTGTATGTGTGTATGTGTGTGTGTGTCTGTATGTGTGTGCGTGTCTGTATGTGTGTGTGTCTGTATGTGTGTGTGTGTCTGTATGTGTGTGTGTGTGCCTGTATGTGTGTGTGTGTCTGTATGTGTTTGTGTGTGCCTGTATGTGTGTGTGTGTCTGTATGTGTTTGTGTGCCTGTATGTGTGTGTGTGTCTGTATGTGTGTGTGTGCCTGTATGTGTGTGTATGTATGTGTGTGTTTGTGTCTGTATGTGTGTGTCTGTATGTATGTGTATGTGTGTGCCTGTATATGTGTGTGTGTCTGTATGTGTGTGTGTTTGCCTGTATGTGTGTCTGTATGTGTGTGTGCCTGTATATGTGTGTGTATGTATGTGTGTGTGTCTGTGTGTGTGTGCCTGTATGTGTGTGTGTGTCTGTATATGTGTGTGTCTGTATGTGTGTGTGTGTGCCTGTATGTGTGTTTGTGTGTCTGTATGTGTGTGTGCCTGTATGTGTGTGTGTATGTGTGTCTGTATGTGTGTGTGTGCCTGTATGTGTGTGTGTGTGTCTGTATGTGTGTGTGTGCCTGTATGTGTGTGTGTGTGCCTGTATGTGTGTGTGCCTGTATGTGAGTGTGTATGTATGTGTGTGTGTCTGTATGTGTGTGTGTGCCTGTATGTGTGTGTGCCTGTATGTGTGTGTGTCTGTATGTGTGTGTGTGTCTGTATGTATGTGTGTGCCTGTATGTGTGTTTCCGTGTCTGTATGTGTGTGTGCCTGTATGTGTGTGTGTATGTGTGTGTGTGTCTGTATGTGTGTGTGTGCCTGTATGTGTGTCTGTATGTGTGTGTGTCTGTTTGTGTGTGTGTATGTATGTGTGTGTATGTATGTGTGTGTGTCTGTATGTGTGTGTGTCTGTATGTGTGTTTGTGTGTCTGTATGTGTGTGTGTGTCTGTATGTGTGTTTGTGTGTCTGTATGTGTGTGTGTCTGTATGTGTGTGTGTCTGTATGTGTGTGTGCCTGTATGTGTGTGTGTGCCTGTATGTGTGTGTGCCTCGATGTGTGTGTGCCTGTATCTGTGTGTCTGTATGTGTGTGCGTCTGTATGTGTGTGTGTGTGTCTGTATGTTTGTGTGTCTGTATGTGTGTGTGTGTCTGTATGTGTGTGTGTCTGCGTGTGTGTTGGGATGTGGCAGTGTAGTGGTTAGTGCGCTGCGCTACGAACCCGCGATCTGGGTTCGATTCCCGTTCACGGCCAACACCAGTGTGACGCTTATCTCAACCGGTCCTGGGCCTCCCCTCGGTAGACTCAGCCTCAAATGAGTACCTGGTGCGGTGTGTAAACATCGCCACTAGGGAGACAAAGGCGGTCGGGCGTGATGCTGGCCACCCACCCCCTCGTGTACCGTTTCGGCCTTCATAGGTGCTCGCTAACAGCACTTGCCCCTACAGTCTGTTAAGGCTATATGGGGGATCTTTGTCTGTGTGTGTCGGTGTGTATGTGTCTGTATGTATGTGTCTGTGTGTGTGTCTGTATGTATGTGTCTCTGTATGTGTCTGTATGTATGTGTGTGTGTGTTTGTATGTATGTGTCTGTGTATGTGTGTCTGTATGTATGTATGTGTCTGTGTGTACGTGTCTTTATCTGTAGTTTAACCGGACGGGCCAAGGCAGCCAGTGTAGCCAGGCCATCATGCTCATCACTGACGGCGCCACTGACACCTACGACAACGTGTTCAACACCTACAACCGGCCCCACCGCAGGGTGAGTGCACGGGGGGAGGGCACGGGAGGTTGGGGGGGACATGAGGATACGAGGCATGGGACATAGGGACATGAGATACAGAATATGAGACATGGGACATAGGGACATTAAATTCAGAATATGAGACATGGGACATAGGTACAGAGGGACATGAGACATGGGAACATTAGGAATATGGGACACGGGGACACGGGCCGAGAGACAGAAAATGATGACATGGAATATGGAAACTTCCCCAATCACTCACCACCGCACGGTACTCATTTTGACGACCACGAGAACTAGCAGTGAAAGAGCCTTCTCTCGAGGTGTGGTTCTCACTGCAGCCTTGCACCCCTTTGTTTCTCAAGTGGTAAAAAATGTATAATGTTAATCAATACATAGGGGTTTGATGAAACAAAGCAGTTGTACTTAACGTGCCCGTGTTTAATTTGTGTTTTCGATTATTTATCTTCTAAAAACAATCTGGCCATGTCTCGCACCCCAGAAAGGGAATCTTGCACCCCCAGTGGGTGACGTGCACCCCAGTTTAAGAGCCACTGCTCCAGAGCCTAATAATGACTCCAATGATGGTGGAACTGCCCCAGATGTTTATCGGCTAGGACTGGTTTCAACATTCAAGGTCTCATCATCATCAGAGTCAGGCACTGCTTGAACCAATGATGGTGGAACTGCCCCAGATGGTTATAGATGTAGGGGTGTTGTGGGAAGGAAACACAGTGTGGGAAGGTAACACACAGCCACACCTTGGTGGCTACAACCACGTCCGCTATAGCCCCGCCCTCAGTGGTGTATGGGTATAAAGGGTGGGGAGCCAGAGAGCTCGGAGCAGTGTGTTGGGGCCAAGAATGAAGAACCAGTGAAGAAGGAAGGCCGGCTAGATAGACCCTGGGACTTCCCTGACCGCTGTCCTTTTAAGGGCCGGCAGGGTAAGCCAGTGGTGCGGCCCCAGAGCCTCAGAGCCGGAGCCCTTTTAAGGGTCGGTCTGGTGGTTGGGTGCCGTGATCTGTGCTTGACCAGGGCCAGATCAGATAGCCTCCTCTAGCACCTGTAGCTGGAGGAACTGGGAGCACAGGAATTAGGCTAGATAGCCTAGGGGGTGTCCCAGCGTGAATACGGGTGAAGGGGCCATTACCCCTTCCAGTGTAACCCTTGTTAAGTTGAATAAACAGTGCTGCCTCTACTCCACTGTCTCCGTGTCCCGGTGAATCCACTACAACTGGTGTCAGAAGTGGTTTGTATAATGGATACAAGACGGACAAACCGCTCGCAAGAACCTGAGGAGGAAGATGACTCTGCTGGGACAGTGCCACCGGACTTGGCCGACGATCCCGAAATGTCACAGGCATCCCAACAGCCGCCGCAGCTGGAGGTGTGGCCGCCGTTAGGGGACGGGTTACGGGCGGCTCACTCCCGTCTTGCCGAGCTGATATACGCCGCGGCATCCACGCTGGAAGAAATTAACCACGCGGGGCTGGGGGTGCCGATGCGGTATGGCGAAGAACGCTGGTCAACGGCCGTTCCCACCAGCACACAGCCGCCAGAATTTGGATTCGCCACCATGGCGGTGTCTACTACGGAGATTCGAGGGCCACAGCACCACGTGGACAGCGGGGGCCAATCACCGGCCGTAACGTCATCACCGATGGACGTTCGCCGCCAGGACCAATCGGCAGGTGCAACGTCATCAACTGTGGCACCGCCGATGGGGACCCCCATCCCCTCGAACGATGACAAAAACGGCGGGAACGACGCGCAGCGGCTGTTGGAAACGGAGCCATCGTTCCAACAGGGCTTGCCTGTGTTAAAATAATTTGTGTCCGACGGGGGCGACTGCGGGGCCTTTGAAAGTCGCTTCCTCGCTCATCAAGAGATGTCTGGGTGGACGGACAATGAGGCGCTGCATGCCTTGCCAGCCACATTGGATGATGACGCTCTCGCCACCCTCATCACGGCCCCCAAGTCGGCGTGCGCTACACTGCAGTCGGCCCTCCGAGTCCTCGCCACTGTTTATGGGCCGCCATCGGACTGTCGCCAACTGTTCCACGAGCGGCGCAGGGGCCAGAAAGAGTCGCTGCTTGCGTATCGCACGGCTCTCCTGGCCCTTGCAAAAGCGGCTTTCCCGCGCATGGACTGCGAGGGGGTGAATGCGATGGTCACAGAAAAACTTCTGGCGCTGGCTCAGGACCTGCAGATCGTTGTCATCGCAGCGGACGAAGCGGAAATGTGTTCCTTGCGGGCAGCAAGGAACATACACGCACATCTGCTATCACAACGCCGACCACCTCTCATCTCCAACGGTGCAGCTGTGGTGTGTGCTGGGACATCAACCATCCCCTCATCCGAGGAGATCTTCGCTGCGGGTCGCCCTGCAAAGTGGAGATCTGGAGGTAGGCCGGCTTGAACGACATCGAGCCACCAGGAGCAACCCAAGATGGTGGGTGCACTCATCACCTGCTACAACTGTGGCCTCAAGGGCCACGTGGCTTCGGGATGCCGGGCGCCACAACAGCGACCACCAGGACCCCGGCCGGACGGCGCTCCAGCCTACAAGCCTTCGCATCAAACTCCGGCAAGTCGCGGCACCCCACATGCTCGGCCTGTGCACACACCTGTCACTATCTCAACTCGACGAACCGGCGGCATGGCCGCCGGTTCGTCGGGTTGCGGCGGGGTCGAGAGGGCGCTCGGACCGGTTCAGTGGTCTGAATTGGCTCACCGAGTTGTTGCTGCGTCAGCGGGTTCGTCCGTTGTTACAGGTCGTATTGATGGGGTTGAGGTGCGTGTCCTTGTCGATACGGGGGCATCGGCGACTATTGTGTCGGATTTTATCTATAATATCCTCCCCGTTCAGAGCCGCCCCTTGCTGCCAGTCGACATTCTGTGTTACGCAGCAAACGGGGATTCGTTGGGTATCATAGGCCAAATCCGAGCACAAATTTGCATTGGGGATATCAAATTATCTGGGCCAATATTAGTCTCATCCTTGCTGGTGGTTCCGTGCTTGTTGGGGACAGACGTTTTGGCCAAAATGCCGATTAAAATATTGATTGACCAGGGATGCATTGAGCTCCCTTCGGGCCGACGTATAACGTTCCTGCCTTCCCCCGTCACCTCAAGGATGGCCTGCGCGACGATACAAGCATTCGTCACTCGTACTGTGCGTGTGCCAGCGGGTGCGCAAATGCTCGTACCTCTTCGGTTGCGTCGACCTTTTGCACCGGGTGTTTTGGACCACGGTGTTCTGTTAGGGCCCTCAAAGGCTGGGAAAACGGGCTGGATTTGGTGGCCGCTCAAACGATTGTGAAGGGGAGCAATGACCCGTTCATCATGGTCCTTAATGTCGGAGTGCAGACGGCTGTGGTTCCTCAGGGGACCGTGCTTGCACACGTGATGCCGGTACCCGTAGAAGAAACGGTTATGGGACATGAGGGGACCAATCCTCCAACTCGGCCACGTTCCATTGAGGACGATAGTTGGATGGATGCACTGTGTTAAGGAACGAACGATCTATCCGACTCCCAGCGTGCCGGATTACGGAACCTTTTGATTGAATTCGCTGACGTCTTTAGCAAGCACAAATATGATATTGGGTGCACGAATTTGCTGCGACACCACATCGACACGGGTGCAAATGCCCCGGTACGTCAGAATCCTTTTCGGTTGAGCTCTGCCGAAAAGGATCATGTTAAAACGGCTGTGGACGACATGTTGGCTGCGGAAATTATATCTCCTTCCACCAATCCATGGGGGGCACCCATTGTGCTTGTCAAAAAGCACGATGGGTCTTTGAGATTTTGTGGATTTTCGTCGCCTAAATAAAATCTCGGTGGCCGATGCATATCCACTCCCCCGAATGGACGAATCTCTGGATGCTCTAGCAGGGGCACGATTTTTCTCTACATTGGACTTGTCAGGATTCTGGCAACTTCCATTGGATGACGAGTCCAGACCAAAGACTGCATTCTGTACACCACACAGCGTATTTCAATTTAACCGGTTGCCAATGGGATTACACTTCGCTCCGGCGACATTTCAGTGCCTTATGGAACTTGTTTTGGCTGGCTTACAATGGGACGTTTGTCTGATCTATCTGGACGATGTAATTGTATTTAGCAAAACGTTTGACGAACACCTTTTGAGATTGCGCGCCGTGTTCCTAAAAATGCGCGCTGAAAATTTAAAATTCAAACCACAGAAGTGCCACTTGCTCCAAGAATCTGTGCGGTATTTAGGGCACATCGTCAGCCGATCGGGCATATCCACCGATCCCGCAAAAACGCAGTGTGTCAGCTCCCGGCCGACCCCCACCTCGGTGGCTGAGGTCAGGAGTTTAATTGGGTTCGCATCTTATTACCGGCAGTTCGTTGCGGACTTTGTGACCATTGCTAAACCTTTACATGCCCTGATGGCAAAGGGAGTGAAATTTCACTGGGGCCAGGTCGAGGAGATCGCTATCCGTTCCCTTCGCGACGCTCTCGTGGGGGCCCCACCATTGAGCTACCCCGATTTTTCTGAACCCTTCCTGCTCGATACAGACGCCAGCAATACGGGTATTGGGGGTGTGCTCTCACAGGTTGTCGGTGGTGTGGAGCGCGTTGTGGCTTATGGTAGTAGGGTCTTGTCTCCGGCGGAGCAGAGATACTGTGTCACCCGTCAGGAGCTGTTAGCCATTGTATTTTTTATACAACAATATCGGCCATATCTGTACGGACGGCACTTCACCGTCCGTACAGACCATGCGGCATTGCAATATGCCTTGCGGATGGAACAGCCTTCAGGGCAATTGTCTCGATCGCTCGAGGTCCTTCAGGACTATGATTTCACAACCACATATAGGAAGGGTGTTCGACACACTAATGCGGACGCACTATCTCGCCTGCCACCCGCCTCAGATTGCGCTTGTCTTATGGGATCGGGGCGTTGTAAGCCGCCAGATGACAGCCCCGCTTTAAATGTTCTGATTCTTGCTGCCGCCACCAAGGACCCTTGTCTGCGGG